CCCCCTCACTGCACTGTCTGCCTCCGTACTCACCACCATCCACCTGTACCTTTGCCTCTTTTACATATCCACCGCACTGTTGAAATGCCATAAATGCACTATTGACTTGTAATACAATGCACTATTACCACCTCATCTGCTGCTAATTATATTATTACTATATTTATTATGTACCTCATGTATATATTTTTACAGACCATACAGCACCTTAAAGCTACACATGCACCTTATTGTTATTGCACCTTAATGTTCGTCGTTCAGTATTGTCTATGTCTGTCAGCGCACGGGAAGGCGAGGAACGTAATTTCGATACCTCTGTATGTTCTGTACATGTGAAGGTATTGACAATAAAGCTGACCTTGACCTTGACCAAAAGTGACAGTGGTCTGAAGGAGAGATTGAATAAACCAATGAACAGCCGTACATAAAGTAAAGCCAAAGGAGACATCTATTTAATATACAGTTTCTAATAACGAATAATACAATTTTATGAAAACCTATTTTGTAGTATTTTGTTGTTTCTGGGCGAGCATTGTCTTCGAGTAAATATTAGCTTATTTTAAACTGTTCAACCTATAACAAGGCCAAAAAATGGAACTTGGTCTAATTTTATCATTTTTATTTTAATAAAAACTTGAATTGTTTCTTCAATTGCAGCTCACTGATTTAGACCAACAAGGCATACTTGTTCTTTATTTTATTCCCTTTGCTTTCAGGAACTTGATGAGATTCGCAAATCTGGAATGAAGAACTTCAGAAACATCCAAGTTGACGAATCAAACCTTTTGTCATGGCAAGGTCTCATTGTACCAGTGAGTAACTGTCCATTGATGGATCTCAGTGTAGCCCAGAAACCCTGCCCCCATCACTAACCATCACATTTTCATTTCCAGGACAACCCTCCTTATGACAAAGGTGCATTCAGGATTGAAATCATTTTCCCGACAGAGTATCCCTTTAAACCTCCCAAGATCACATTCAAGACAAAGATCTATCATCCCAACATCGATGAGAAGGGTCAGGTTTGCTTGCCTGTCATCAGTGCTGAGAACTGGAAGCCTGCCACCAAAACTGACCAAGGTACTTGACAGTGGAGCGTCATGTATTTTCTGCAGTCTCTGAGCTCGGCATTAGAATTTTACACCCTGGGCATCAAACCAAATTCCAGAGCTTGAGTACATAAAAACGTTCTCTGTATGATAGTGCTCAAGTCATTGTGTTCTTGCTGTGACTTCAAATGTTTCATTTTTACACTGCCATGTTCTTAAGGCCTTGTTTTGAACTTTCAGATACTTACCAGCCAAGGCAGCAATAAAGCAGCTGTTCTTGTATCCCTGTGAGCTAAAAAGGCTCATTTTCCTCTTTTGGGACTTAGGTTTAAGCAAGAGAGTAAGAAAAAAAATCTGTGTTCTACCAGAAAATCTTTTCAACAGTGAAGAAGTTACCATGTGGATTCTGAAAATGTAAAGCAGGTTAAAGTGTTTTCCATCTAGTTCCTACTGACAACCCTTTTATTTTTGTAACCACGTGTGTATAATGTGCATATATACAATGTGTATATGTATGTATGTATGTAT